TTTCTCATTCACCATCTGGATGAGGTGAAGGCATACTAAAATAAGTAGCGTTTGCAAAAGCAACCATTATCGCGGAAAAAGCGCGAAAAGTCGGCCAAGAAGACACCACAAAAAAGGAAAAAGGAGGTCTATCCTGCCTTGAAAGACAGGTGCACAGTAGATGTGTTGCCAGGCTGAACTCAGAGCACAAAGACCGGTAGTGTAGTGGTAAGACATTGCATCTGGACGTGAAGGGGTGTGGTTCGGTCCCCTACCGGTCCAGAACAATTTTTGAGAAAGGGTTCCATTCACGACAACACACGATGGCGGCGTTTACAATGGCCCCTTTTTCGAAAGATGCTTGCAAGCAAGTTGATAGCAAGCGTTTCTGGTTGTTCAAGTGAAAACACAAATGAGTGAAGCTTGTCGTTTGAGAAGAACTGTTTCAGTTTTGATTATTTACGCTTAAAAACAATGCTTTAATTTCATTTTCAGAATTGAAGTTGGGGAAGAAATTTTGACGGCAACAAGCAGAAGTGTCATCGATGCGGGCTACACTGAGATAATGACGTGGCAGGGAATTGAGGACGATGCATGTTTGCATGATGTTCAGAAAGGCACAGTGCTGGATATGAAGTAATTTTTTTTTGTTTTTCTTGCAAATTTGTACTTGGGTCGGGATGTTTTACTTTAACTTTTCTTTTTTTGAAGATTTCCTTTCGCTTCAGCAGATTGGAGTTACTTTTTCAGCTGCATAGGTGAAAAATTTCATAAAAATTTGAAAATTTGAGGAGTGCTCGAATGCCTGAATATGCAACGACGCCACCAGATTACCTGACCGAGTCGGAGCTGATCTCACTGATGGAAAAGCATGGTATTGGAACGGATGCCTCAATTCCTGTTCACATCAATAATATTTGTCAACGTAACTATGTCACTGTAAGTATCGGAAAGCGTAGCATTACTGCTGGTAAAGTGCAGCGACATGAGAAAAGAGGAATGGAATAGTCGACAATGTTTATTTGATATTCTGTAAAGAAGCCAAATTTTAAAATCTCATTTAAGC